TTATATTAATATTTTGTAATATAATATTTATAATTATATTAAAATAATTTATTATATAATTTAATTAAATTATTTTTAATTTATTAAATTAATAATTCAAATATTATATTAATAATTAATTAATAATTTATTTAAATTTATAATTAAATACAAATAATATATTAAATAATTTTGTTTATATTAAATCATTCTAAATAACTTTGTTTATATTTAATTATTAATTACGATAATTTAAAGAATAATTTTCCTATTGAAATATAAATTGAACAAAATGAATGTGTGTTATAAGGAAATAAAAGAAAAGATCAAATTCTTATGTTACGATGATCTTTATTTATTGACAAAACTGACATACGTGAGATAAATCGTTAAAAGGTCTCTGAGGCAAGGTCTCTTGCCTCTAACAGGCAAATTAACTAGTTTCACGTTAGCATGATTGATCCTTCCAATTAAATCTTCAAACGTTTATAAATGCTACGTATACTATAACTACCGTAATTTTAGCCTTGTTGTACATGAATAATGATAAGAGCTTTGAACGTTCTTCTATAGGATAATCGTTCATTTTCTCAGCACGTTTTATAATAATTATTAAGTATGTATAGAAACGTTATGTACTTTCATGTGAAATAATATCATACTATTGGAATTTATAATTGTTGGTTATCGTATTTCTCATACGTCAATGATCGCGTAATTATTAGTTTCGTACTTTTCATTGCCAGTTTGGTGAGTAAAAAAATAAGTAAAGAAAAAAGTGTTCAATATTTTTCGAGAGAATAAGCTTCTTGGCAACGATGTTTTACGGTTATAGTAATGGCCAGTGGTCATTTTCACATAAGACTGTGTGACGCATCGATGGAACACACGTTAGGGGACGACTTCGTTTGAATTATTGTGTAAGCTAGTTAGTCACGTGTTTCAATCTCGTTCAGGTGACTACAAAACACGTGCATATCGAATTAATAATAATTAAATTTACTTAATCCTCGTAGTTATCCTGATGATATCATTTTAATTTTAATTCATCGATCTATTTTTTTTTAAATCTTTTAAACGTCATAATTTGTTTCATTTTCTTGTTATTGTTTTACGTATACTAAGTAAGTTAGATTAATTTTTTTTTTCTAAGACCATGTTATCGAATTAAAAACGTATTGCATTAATTAGAATTATTTAAATCGTGGACTATGATTTCCTGTGTAGCTTGTCATCGCATATGTTAGTAAGCAAACATTGAAAAATAATGAATTTATTCATTTTGATGGTAATTTCCATGACGTTGCAAAAATGGTTTTATCTTTCGTAATATATTTTATTCCGTCTTATATGGGCTATTTGATCAAGAAATCTATTTCCTTAGAAGAAGATAGAAGGAATATAAAATAAAAAATAAGAAATGCGTTACACAACGCATGAACTTTTAACTTGCCTTCAAAATTTGTCACAGGTCGTTAATAATTACTTTAGAATAATTTAATTATTAGGAAAATATGTATATTTCTGTAAAAATATACTCAAATTGTTGTTATATATATGAGATATAAATTACGTAAAATTATTAATTATTATGAAATTACACCATTTTACTATATATATATATTAATAATTAATAATAATATTATAAACATATTACATAAGACTATATTGATTATAACATCTCGCGCATTTATCAAACTTTTTTATTTCTCTTCGGTTTTATTTCTATCTGAATACAAGTACAAAGTACAAATTTTTAATGAAAGAGAGAGAAAAAGATACTTATACATAGTAAATACACATATACATTTAAATACAATGCTAAACAAAAATATTGGCACATGATTTTCCTATAGTATTTTTAGTAAATCTAAAAAAAAATGATATCAAATATATCAAGATAATATTTAATATAAATAAATATAATATAGTATAATCTTCTAGAATTTGTGTTTACTTGTTGATGATAATATAATATAAATATGAAATAATATATTTAGAAAAAATATTTTATAATATTTTTAAGAAGCCATTGTAATTAATGCACAGTAAAAAATAATAAATGTACAAAGAAATAATTTCAACTAAACACAATATTTTTATTATATTATTTGTTTATATTATAGAAAATTTGAATTCCTATCAATAATTTTGCTCGGCACTGTATAAGAGTATCGATCATTTTCTAATAAATAGATTATTTATTTATCTTTTGTAAAAATGTAACTTAAATCTATCGATATAGATCACTTGAAATAGAATTTTAAATTTTAAAGGCGCCAGAGTCGAATCAATTCATAGTCGCAGCAAAATTATTAATAGACCGATAAAGTAATTGCAATTTATGCATCTTTTATTTTTGTTTCGTTGCTTAATTAATGTTAAATCTTTTCCATTATGTTTATAGAACAATTTTTCGAGCACGTCCAATACGTATATATGTATGTGTGTAATATTTTGTGCTATCGTACTAATTTGACAAGATTAGTGGTATGTGTTATCGTATCAGTGCGATTAGTGAACATTGACCACTGTTAATTTCCACGAATGATGCAAAATTCTTTATTTTTATCAATGATTTTTAAGGTCTTGCCCTTTCTTTACTGTAGATCGATAATTATGTAGAATTTTAAAGATATATCTATCCACATATACAAAATTGTTTTAAAGTTGCTAAATGACCTAAAACATGTTCTTAAATTAATTTAAAAATCACTTACTCTTTTTTTCATTTTTCGAAATTTTTTAAACTTGCATTTAATCTTGTAAATTTTATGATCTAATTGTAATACATAAATTAACTTAAAAAGTTTCTCTTACAAAAAAGTAATCAACTTTTTTCAAATTATTTTGAAAAACTTTGAACCCATCTTGTAAATATGCGAAGTTTTTGTCAATTTTATAATTTGTATTTCTATGACTCATTAGTAAACAGAATTCCATCAACTGTACGTACGACGCCGGTTAGTCATTCAGATCTTAGATTCGATATGAAATTGTAAGTGTTCACGGTCAAGGACAACGTTAGTAGTCGTTCTCTAAAACTATGCGACCACAAAGTTACGCGATGCATAGAATTCTCTCACGCTATGGTCATAGAACATATTGTCCAACATAAGCTCTAAATACGTATTTCAATTCACCTTGGAATTTAGATCGAGAAGACGATTGGAAGATTAGTTTTTTTTAAATGACCCTACACCTTAAAAAACGAATAAAAAAAAAGAACATAAAAAATAATCTTTTAATGTGCATTAATTTAACAAATTTCGAGTAATCTTATTTTCAAATTAACTAACAAGTTATAACAAATATTAAAAACTAATATTTACAAGAATTTTATATTCAACACTTTTCATTCCTTTCACTCCTATTTTAAAATTTTAAATATCATTCCATACCTTGTAATACATCAATCTAAAGATAATTAAAATTTACTTGTAAAATATATTTATATATATCTCTATAAAATTGATCATTCTTGGTATTAGCATTAAACTCTTCCAATTATCTTTAAATTCTTATAGAACATCCTTCAGATGTAACAGGAATTCTTCAGTTTATTTATTCCCATGAAGTTAAGTGAGTTAAATTAAATACTTGTATGGTAGGAATTTACGAAAATACAAATATTGTATTCTACAAGTATATAATTTCTTGAAATAAAAAAAAAAAACATGAGAAAGATTAGACTCTTCCCTTTGGAACTGGACTTAGTATTTAAAATAATTAAGGCTAATTGGATGTAAATATATGAATTAATTAATGAATAATTTAATTGTTATCAGGAGACAATGTTACATAGTATATAATATAACATGTCTGAAATGTAATAAAAATACAATTGATATAGATTGTATTTTTTACAGACATTCGCTCATTAGAACTTTGTTCGGCTGTTATCAAAAAATAAAAGAGTAAAATGTCTGTAAAAAAATTACTGTTTTCCTTTATGGAAGACTACAAATAAGAAAAGTATCTACCAAGAAGTAATATGTTTGTTATCGTTGTGTTCGAAGTGCGAAAAAGGGATCAAGCGAAGGAGATGTGGGGAGATGAAGGATGAAATTAAGTTGAAAAGGAATCTGTTGATTAACCACGAAGACAGAGTTTGTACACATTTATTCGTATAGATATTACTTTAACATGGTTCAATCCGGTATAACCAGAAATTATTCTCTACATTGAGACTTAAAACTCTAAAGATTAAGTTTGTTTTATTTATATTTTTTATTTAGAATTTTTTCTTCGAATGTTAGACAATTTGTCTTCATGCGATGAAAATAAAAACAAAATATGCTTGATTTATTGTCTAGTTCCAAAGTTTAATCATCATTGAGACAAATAATCTTATCTTATGTTAGACTCTCTGCCTCATTAATTTTATTTTTATAGTTTTGTCTCCTTCTCCTTCTTCTTCTTCTTCTTTTTCGTGTTTCGAAATTTGTTTAAAAATTTAAAGACTCTTTTGGGTCACTTCATCTCAAATCACATATTTATCGATAATTCATGATAAAGACTATGATTTTGGATCGGTGTTATAAGCTGTTAGAACATATTTTATCTGCCCTAGGGTTATTACTGCAGGTGTAAAATTCCCATGGTGTACCGTAAATCGCATGCTATCACGAAAATTAATAGTCGAGGCATGTCGTGAGTTCATACGAGTTTACTGTTTAAAATCATATGAGAGAGAGAGAGAGAGAGAGAGAGAGAGAGAGAGAGAGAGAGAGAGTTTTCATCATCAGCACGTAAACCAAAATTCTAGAAGATTATCTTCCTTTTCTTCTTCATTTTTATTTACTCAACTTCAAGAATGTTTCTTGTCAAAAACTTTACAAATGAAAAGGACAAAAAAAACAAACGAATTGAAACGTGACAGAAAATGTTTCTTATAGATTTATTTAACTCATTCTAATCGTCGATGTATACTCCAACTGGATCCCCGAAACGTGCAATTACAATGGAACCATGTAGAAAAGTTTTAATTAGTTTTAGGAACATTCTTTCCAGCTAAAAGTTTACAAACTTTATCTCCGTGGCGAATTCRGTAACTAACACCGTTGTCTCTTTCTTTCTTCTATTTCCCCCGCCCCTTTTTTTCTGTCTTTTTTATCCGCTAAATTATCTACTACCGATCCAACCACCGAGTTTTCCCTACTTTCCGTAGACATGCGATTTCACTCGACGAGTTCACGAATACCTATTTATCATCGATTTTTTTCTCTTCTCTTCTTCTTTTTCTTCTTCTTTAAATTCTCAAATTGCTGTAATTTGAATTGCACGAAATCGAATAATTTATAAAATTTCAACGGGATCACGTTACATGACAAAATACTTATCCTTTTTATAATATTGGGTTGCCCAGAAAGTTCGTGTCGATTGATAAATTTTTATATATAATATAGTTTTCTTAAAATCGGCATGAACTTTCTGTACAATTCGGTACATTCATCATTAAATTATCCGAAAAGTTCTTATTGATAGTTGACAAAAATTTATGTAAATATATTACAAATATTAATCAAATTATGATTTATTTTTTATCGATGATTGAGAACTTTGATTCCAATGTGATTGGTCAATGATTTTAAGACATTGTGCAGCGAAAAATGATATTGCTTGTACGAAAGTTAGAATAATAGTATATTCGTGGGTGATATCCTCTAGGTAACTGTTTAAGCATATATCGATTGGTGCCATTCAGTGCCTGGTAGTGGTTCATGCTTCTTCTGCTTGTATTTTCTGAAGACAAAGAACTCTTCAGGGGGGTTATATTAATGCATTGTTCTTTCAAAATCGCGTATTGGAGTACAGTGAAGTTGAGGGTACTCGTCCATGTGTTGTTTAGATTTCAGTTCTTTCTCATATCTCTTATCATGCGTTAAGTATTAAGGATTGAAGGGTGAGTTGTTTACAAAAAAATTGTTTGTTTATGTAATTAGTACATAACATAAGTTATATACATGTAAGTATGTATTTTGTACATAAATGTTAAAATAAAATATTCGAAAAAATGTTTTATAGAAAATACACGCGTGTATAAAGGGTTGCCTACTGTCAAGAGCAGTGTAGAGTTCCGATTATTGATAATTGATTATTTTTTAATTAAATATAAGAGTTATTTAAATTAATAAGCTATTAGGATTTATTATTTGTGTTAATATTATTTAGACATTACCTAAAAGTACCGGACAATTAACATCCAGAGGACCGATGGAAAGAAGGAGACCGCCATTACTCAAAGGAACAAGTAAAATAAAAGAGGTAAATAGATCAACAATTAATATCCTAATCATTTTCATAATCATATATAATTTTATTTTAAAATTGTAACTAAAGAAGATGTGTCATAAAACAATGATAAAAGTGATTAAATTAAAGATTATTTTATATGACATAAGATAGAGAATTTTTAATATTCGTTTGAATTTCGTGCCTAATTTAACTATTTTTCTATTGGACAATTCGAAGCGTGACAGGTTAAATTAGCCAATGAAAACGCATAGAATAATCTTCTCTATATGAATTTTTCATAAATTTTAAAGATAATAATAAAAATGTTTAATCTTATTCTTTAGGTTAAATTAAATAATAAAATATATATTTTATAATTATATTCTATATATAAGTCAAGTAATAATTAGAAGTAATGAATTTTTGATTTATGTCGATATTTACCATGACAACACGTAAACATAAACATAATCTATGAAAGAAATAGGATGATTTTTATTTGATCGTCCTATTTTCTTTATTAATATATACATATATTATTAAATATTATTTATAAATAAGAATGATTTATATTAAATTTGCATAATTAGTGAAAATATGTTGACTGGAGTTAAAAGTTATATTTTTGACAGTGTAACATAACCTATTTTAGGGTTTTTTACCATTACCTATAAGGTAATATTTAGTGCTTAATGTTTTTTCTGTTTTATAAATATTTTATATATATTACCTTTATGGTAATATATATATATACATGATATATGTTACCTTTAATAATTTTATTTATATTATTGTAGTCTGAACGTAAAGCTAGTAAAATGGATCCCACATATAGTACAGTCAGTTGTCCTGAGGATGACGAAGAAACACTTTCACCGGAAGCTTTAGTAAGACAAAATTATGAATTGAGACATCGATTGGAAGAAGAAGCGGCATGTTACAAAAGACGTTTAGATACATATCGTCAAGCTCAGCAACATCAAGCCGCTCTTGTTTCTCGTTTACAAGCTAAAGTAAATTTTTATTCTTTTATACATTTCTACATCTACGATACAAATTTTTTTTTTAAATAAGTAATAACTCAATAACACTTGTAAAATCAATAATGTAAAAATCTATAGAAAAGAATTGATAGGTTTTACAGTATAAACAAAGATGCTCAGAATTAGAAAATGTTATGGCTGAAACTGCTGCGATAGACAATAGTAAATTACCTATTCAACCGCAAAGTACATCTGCATTAGATGTCGCACACCAAACGCTTAGAGAAATGCGCGAAGAGCAAATTCATGATTTAGATACCGCATTAAATAAACTTGCAGAAGAACGTAAAAAGTAATTACAAACAGTCATTATATTGTATAGAATATTTATAAAGATCTCATATATTTTTTTTTATATCATAGATGTGAAAAATTATTAGAACTAAATACATCTTTGAAAGATCAACTGGAAGAGACTAGTCAAACTAATGAAGCTTTAACAAACGATCTTCAAAAACTTAGTAATGATTGGGACGTTTTACGAGAAGAATTGACCATAAAAGAAGAAGAATGGAAAGAAGAAGAACAAGCTTTTAACGATTACTATACTTCTGAACATAACAGATTGTTAAATCTTTGGCGAGACGTTGTATCTGTAAAAAGACTATTCGCAGATATTAAATCTTCTACAGATAGAGATTTATCAAAATTAAGTAATCAAATAACATCTACTACTAACGATATTGTCTCCACTTGTAATAATACAAGTATTTTTATGAAGATGCAAGCAAATTTAATTCAACCATCGGTAAGTTCAATGATTATAATAATTTAATGTATTATTATAGCGTTGGAAATGTTTATATTTTGTAGGTCGCTCAGCAAATTCATGAATCGCAGATAGTAATGGAAATGAAGTCAGAAATGGGATCGCTAAAACAACAGTATGATGTTGCACAAAATGAAATCCGAATGAAAGATGACAGAATTAATCAATTGATCCGTGAAATACATGCACTGGTAATAAGCACTTACAAAGCGATAACAAAACTTAATTTTTATGTGTACTGTTCTTTTCTCTGCATTTAGGAAGAAAGATGCGGAGAAGCAGAAGCACAAACAAACAATATAACACGTATGCAAGAAGACATAGAAGTTTTGCAAAATGCGTTACGGGATATAGCTCATACTGTTATTCAAGATGCTGAGACACGTGATAGTGAAAATACGCAACCTCCTCCTCATGTTCATTTGTCACCTACTGGACCAATTCCTCAAAGATCACCAAGGCGAGGAGGGAGAGCTAATACCATTCCAGCTTTCGCAGAGAGTACTATCAGTGCTGTTCAAGCTGCATTACATAAATATCAGTTAACGATACATGATCTACAAGTATACAAATATTTGCAAAATTTTTCTTTTTCCTATAAAATAATTACAAACATAGTTTTAAAATGAAACTTTTATTACAGGTAAAGTTACAAACTCATAAAGAACAATTATCATCATTCCGTAAACAAAGTGAAAATGCTGAAGAAAATGTTCGAACTTTGCAAGTTAAAGTTACAGAACTTGTTGAGGAATTGGATTCAACGCGTTCTCAGTGTACACAACTTGTACAAGAGAAAGAAGTTTTACAAAAAAATTTAGATACTATTAAAATGGAGAAAAATGTATTAGAAAAAAATAGAATGGAAATTAATGCTATGGTATAGTTCATTTTTTTAAACTTAATTATATTTTGTTAATATTTATCTTTTTTTTAAATATTGAATTATTATTTTAAAGGTTGAAACATTAAATGCGGATTATGACAAAATACAAAAGGCAAATAATAAATTACAAAAAATGTGTGACAGTTTAGAAGATGATAAATTGTATCTTCAAGGCGAATTGGAAAGATTATCAAAAGATGCGGAATTACGGTAAACTACCTGTTTTTAATTACTGTTGTATACCAAGATTTTAAAAATATTTTCTACTAACAGTTTCTGTATTTAATTAATTTCAGCGAATTAAGTCTTCGTTCAGAAGAAAACAGATGCAGCAAAATGAGAGAAGAGCTTTTAACGTTACAAGAAGAATTAAATAAAACGTACTTAAAAAAGGATATGCTAGAACAACAAAAATTAGAGACAGATGCATTGATTTCACAAATAGAGAAAAGTAAAGGTAAAGTTTTCATAATATTTTTTTATTTTGATTATTTTATATTGTTTATTGTCTAATAATTATTTTTATTTTAGGAGATCTTGAGTTAGAATTAGAGCACTTGTTATTAGAAAAATCTGATTTAAAGGAAGTATTGTTAAAATTAGAGTCAGTTTGTTCAAATCATGAACAAGATAAACAAAGATTGCAAGAAGAATTAAAAAAGGTATGTTTTTTCCCAATCATAAACGCAAATAAAATTAAATTAAGAAAGAAAAATATAAGTATTTCTAAATTTATATTTTTTAGACTACAGAAGAGAAAAATAAACTTGCTAATCAATGTACGGATCAACAAGGAGATTTAGGTTCCTTAAGAAAAGAATTATTACAAGCAGAACAAACGCGCTTAGATTTGGAATCCGATAAAGTTACACTTAATGAAAAAGTTAAATTTTTAGAAATTGAAAAAGAGAAAATAGAAATGGAATTGAGTCAAGTAACTCGTGAACGCAGTGATTTAAGTAATCAGCTTTCTGTACTTGCACGAAAAAAAGAAACGTTGAACGAAGAATTAATGAGAGTTAGACAGAGATTAGAACAAGCTAATGAAATGAATTCAAGAATCAATAGAAGTTTGGAAGATCTTGTAAAAGATAACGAAGAAAAACAAGTAATTATTATTATATATTATTATAATTAATATTATTTTTTTTTAAATTAGTAGCTAATTTAATTCTAATTTATAAATTATTTTATTTTTAGGTACTCTTAGAAACAAATGAGAAAGAACTTCAAAGATTACAAGAACAAATAGCTTCGATACGTTCTGAGAAAGAAACTTTGGAAGGAGTTTTATACGATACTCAAACTAATTTGGAATCAACGCATATAAAAAAGTCTCAATTAGAAAAAGAGCAAAAAGAATTGTTAATAAAACAAGAAACTTTGAAAGGACATATCGGAAGATTATCTAAGGATTTGGAAAATAGTCAAAAGCAATCACAAGATATCAAACAAGCTTTAGCACAACAATGCTGTGACCAAGAAGCCAATTTTCAACAAGCTCTCTTCAATTTAAAAAAACAGAATGAAGAAAACGTCAAAAAATTGAACGAAGAGAAGGTAGATATATATATAATATTTTAAATATGATAATTATTGATTCGTTGTAATTTGAATCGTAGGAACAATTGAAGGTAACGTTAGAAAAAAGACTGCAGCAATCTTTGTCACAACTCGGTGGAGAAAAAAATGACGAAATTAATCAATTGCAACAACGAGTTCAGGAATTACAACAGCATATTGAAAATTTATGTCAACAGCACGAAGAAGTTTTACTCAGAGCTGAAAACGATAAACAGCAAGCTCTTTTAATTGGTACATTATAATATTACTTTATTTTATTCATATTTTTAATGATTGATGTTCATAAAACATATTTTTTTATTGTTGTTGTTGTTGTTATAGCTCATCATGATCAACAAGCATTGATGGAGAAATTAGAGAACGCCTTGCGCGAATTGGAAGAAGAAAAGGGAAACTTAGAACGTTTGAAAAGAGATACCACAATCCGTAGCGAACAAGATCGTAATAATCTTAATCAATTACGTGATAATTTGAATCGTTTTAAAACAAAATTAGATGAAACGAAATTGAAGGGAGATGAAGATAAATTGAAGCTCGAATTAAAGATCGAAGAACTTTTGAAAGAACGCGAATCCGTTCAAAAAGAATCAGAGGAACTCAGAGTTCAATTACATATGGCCGAAGATAAATTGGATGGGCTTCATAATCAGTTGCATGAAACTGTTAGAAAATTGAAAGACTGTACGTTATTCTTCTATTATTTATAATACATAAATAATTTATTATTAAGTAGACAATTTATTATTATAGATGAAAATGTTAATGATACGTTACGTAAAGAATTAGTGGACGTTAGACGACAATTAACAGATTCAACATTTGAAAAAGAAAAATATAATACAAGTAATAAAGAATTGAGAGAACATATTAAACGTATTGAAGGTGAGAAACGTGAACAAGGAAGAGCTTTAGAAGAAACGTATCAAAAAATTGCAGGTATTAGATTTAATTTCTTAAAAATACATTTGCAAGAATATTTTTTTCATTATTTCTATTGATTTTATATAAAATTCAATAATAGCATTAGAGGATGCAAAAACAGGAATGGAAACGGAAAGATCTCGTCTTCAAGCTCAATTTCGAGATATGGAACGTGATTTGATACAAGTGCAACAACAACTTCGTCTTACTCAAGATGAGTTACAAAAATCTACTGAAAATAATGCACAGGCACAGAATAATGAAAAAGAGTTACAAGCTAGATTAGCAAATGAAACGGAAGAAAGGGAACGTTTACAACTTCAATTACATCAAGTTAAAAAACAGGTAAATTATTATTACATTTTCGCTTCTATTTATTTGATCAGAATTAACTAACGTTGCATATTGATATTTAATTATAAATGTTGACTTTTTATTTAAATTCAAAATGATTTAAAATTCTGATCCAATAAATAGAAGCCTTAAGTTATATTCTACTTTTTAGTTTCTAAACATAATTACAAAATGTTATAGGTATTGGATTTGGATAATAGTTTAGAAGTAACCAGACAAGAATTAGGTAAATTACGATCACGTTCAGATGAAGAGGATGAAAGATGGAGATCACGCGAACAAGAATTATTATTACGATTGGAAGATAGTCGTTGTCGTGAAAGAAAACTCGAAGATCAAAAGCACAATTTAGAAGTTTGCTTAGCTGATGCTTCTCAACAGATTCAAGAACTTAAGGTAACTGTTTCCTAATAAAAAATAGCATTCAAAAAAAAATATAATTATTAATAAATTTTTAATATACTTTATATCAGGCACGTCTTGGAGGATCTGAAGGAAGAGTAAGAGCTTTAGATGCACAATTATCTCAATTAGAAGTTGCTAAAAAAGAAGTGGAACAAAAACTAAGTAGCATTGGTTTAACGTTGCGTCGTATCGCTGGTATTCAAATGGACGGTTCTGTAAATATGCCTTTTAAATTGATGAGCCCATCGAGGAGATGGAGTCCTGCGAGAGGTGCGAAATTAATTTTATTTAATAAAATTAATATATTTCTTATAAATGATTTATTATATTTTTAAAATGATTTATACAACAGGACACGAACACGGTGATTCTAGTAAAGATATTGTGATCGATGTTGATCCAGAAGCTGTAAGAAGAGGCATGAGATCTCTTATGCAACAAGTAGCTCAAATTGAACGTGAAAGAGTATGAACAAAATTATTATTTATCTAATGATGAAATTATCTTCATAAATTATATATTTTATTTTATATTATAGGATGATTATAAAACGGAATTGTCCAGTGTAAAAACACAACTTACCGAGTATCAAGAAAATCAAAATAAAGTGGATGAAAGATTAAATAATTTATTATCAAGTATCAGGACAATGCAAGAAGAAAAAAATTCTTTGGAAGCTAGAATATCCCAGAGAGAAACAAGTCATCAAAGTCAAGTAAATATATTATTATAAAATATATCAGTAAATTGTTAATAATTTAATTCATATTTTTAGATGGATATTTTGCAACAGAAAACGGATGAGTGTGATCAGCTTCGTGAAAAAGTTATAAGTCTTGAAATGATTGTTAATTCTGATACAGAAGAAAAGAATTTATATGAAGTAAGAAATTAATATCATAAAAAAGTATTAAAAGTGAATTAAAAATTTTGTTTATTTTTATTTTTTTATTTTTAGGAAAAACTAGAAAAGATGAAACAAACGTTGAACAGAATGGAAAATGAAAGACGTAATTTACAAGAAGAACTCAGTAAAAGTGAAGCTCGTGCTACTAAATTGGAATTACAAAGAATGTCATTAGATGGAGATCTTCAAAGATTACAAATGATGCTGCAAGAGAGGGAAGCAAATGTTCAGGTATTTTATTTTACAAGTGTGTAAAAGTGCTGGCTGGTCAGGGGAATTCCCTTATTCAAAACTAGTTTATGTAGTTGCTCGATAGATGACTCTTCACTTATGAGCGCGAATTTTAAATATTTTTAGATTGCTTACGAATAATCAGTGACACGAATTAATTAATTATTTTATTTTAATTAGAAATTACAAGATCGATGTGAATCACAAAATCGTACGACTGCTGGTTTAGAAGAACGTTGTGCGTCTTTAAAATCTACGATAGAACAATTGAATCTTGCATTGGAAAAATCATTTAACACGGAAAGTGAATTGAAAAATGAAATTAATCTTTTGCAACGTAATCTCATGGAATCTACTACCTGTTCTCAAAGTAATAATGAAAAATTGAAACAGGTATGTAATTTTAGACAAAGATATTCATAAAGATTATATCAATTTTATTTGTCATTACATATTAAATTGCAGTTGCAGAAACAACTTTCCAATACTGAAAATGAACGCAGAGTTATGGCTGAACGTTTGGATTCTGTTCAACAATCTTTAAGTGATTTAAGACACATGAATCAAAATCTTCAAGATCAAGTAGCCAGATTGCAAACTGAATTAGCTAATAACGAAGTCCAACGATCAGGATTAGAAGCACAATTGAGATTAACTAAATGGCCACAAGAAGGAAGTGCAGATAAAGATGAAGATTTGATGAGACAATTACAAATTATTCAACGAGAAAAAAGTGAAATGCGAGGAAAATTAGACACACTTAACGATAAGGTAAAAGAACAATTATTTTATAAAAATGTATATTGCTATTTACATATTTTAAATTGAATGAATTATATAGGTGAAGTTATTAGAAACCGAAAAACGTAGTCTAGAAACTCAAGTATCAACTTTAAAATCAGTTGGTACACGTAGTAAAAGTTATGAACGTCCCGAGAAGGCACATATCGAATTATTAGGAAGTTCTTACAGTTTTGACAATTTAGAGCAAGAAAATAGAGAATTGAGATTAAAGATTCGAAGATTAGAAACACAATTGGCAGAGAAGGAAGCTGAACTTATAAGAACTAAATCTGTCTACACGCATTCGCATTCTGCATTAGAATCTAGTAGAGACAGAACAGGAGAAATAGAACGATTAAGAGCAGCTCAACTACAAGCTGAAAAGTTATTAGAAGCGAGAGAACAAAGTCATCGTCAACAAATTATACGTCTTGAAAATCAGGTAATATTTATCTATAATAAATGATTAATTGAATTGTTTTACTTATATATCATATACTTATTCTTCAGATTCAATTATTGCGAGAGCAATTAAATCAAGAAATTAAGAGACGTCAATTATACGTTCTTAGAAGTTCAAGAGCTGGTAGAGAAATGCAACAATTAAGACAAGCGTTGGGTGATTCTTTAAGAACTGTAGCACAAGATCCATCTCTCGATGCAGTACTTTTAGAACACGAAGCTCGTAAACTAGATAATACTCTGACGAGTACAACTAGTTTACCGCCATCATTGGCATTAGCTCCATCATCAGCGTATGATAGATCTTCCACTCCATCGCGATTAGAAAAAACATAAATTTTGACTGAACAAAAGTAACAAAAAAAAAAAAAATCAACTGCCATTGTTCAAGAGAATATATTCAGGGGAAATAGTATAATGATCTTTCATATATATGTAACTGTTGTTTGATATTCTCACAAATATTTAGTCGTAATTAGATTTAGATTTAGAATGTAATATCCATTGATAGTGCTTACATTCTGTTTAGGCCATTTATATCTTAACAATGAATATCATCTTATTGGTATTCTATCATCTTTAAGTATAATGATTCTTAAGTGAACAAATTTTATTTACAATTAGATGAACGTCACTTTTATAAAATGAATTTCATATAATATTATACTTCCACGAAAACTGGGTTAAAAGTTACGTTATAAACGATAGAAAATATTAGGTCTCAAATCAAGTGTTTTTGAAAAATATATACACATATATATGGTTTGTCGTAAGTTACAAACATATTAGAATTAACAGAATGCTATTATCGTTCGCTGAGATCAAGATTTTTATAGCATTATTTATATTATTACAATTTTTTAATTTATGTACTTATATACAAAAATTATATTAGATCAAAAAGTTTTTATAAATGTGATAGATGGGACATGGAAGCTCATCGTAACGTTTAACCGTCCAACAGTTGTATTCTTAATATATTTACAATTTATAATATATATTACTATTTAATCATTAATTTTTATTTGAAAATATTTAAAAACATTGAAAACTTATTAAAATTTTAAAAAAATCATGTAGGAGTTTATAATATGTCAAAAGAGGGCAGTGCCTACAACAGAATATACCATAACAGTAAGAATTAAAATGCTATGTTTAGTCTCTAATCGAGACTAAACAGTTACCAAACAAAAGCATTGTAGAAGATTGCTTCTGATTATATATTAGGTGAAAATTAGGGTATTTTACACTAGGAAAATACTACAAGTGAAAATGTAGATTGCAAAGAATGGATTGTGTCTGTTCTTTATAATTAAGAATATAGACATTCAGTCCAGAGATGGAAGAATAAATCTAGTTCGTTTAAACTGACATGTTTCTACATATATAAAAAAGAAAGAAAAACAAAAAAGTACAAATATTCGGATAAAATATTTCTAATATACCACAAAAAAACCTTGAGTCGGCAAACTCGAGTAAAATTGTGTTCATGTCTTCAAAACTGATGAACGATTTGCCAATGTTTTATAAAATTTATTATTACGATGGATGAAATTGTCAGATCTGTTATTTATTATCTTTTTTCTTATCATGGCTATATAAATAAAGTTACGAGAAAAATATTGAAAATAAAAGCAGGAGACATAAGTTCGAATATTCATCAATCGTATAACTTCGATAAAATATCATACACTTTCGTAACGTCTTGTTATTACACGTGCGTTTGTGATTTTATAAAAATATATGTAGTTTAATATTGCAAAATGAAAAATAATGAATTGTCTATTAAATAGGCTAATCAAATAAACAATGCAGTTAAATTGAAATAACAATTTTATTAGCCTACATTATTTTTTGTTTTTATATTTTATAAAAATCTATTAGTTATTCATTTTCGGATGTATTTCTTTTGAATTTTTTTGGTTTGTACCTTGGTACAAACTTATGTCGCCTTTTTTGACCAACCTTTCCTTCAAATAATTCTGAAAATTACGAATTTATTACAAAGACGTTCTTATTAGTTATTTTAAAAAAAAACTTTATGATAAAAATTTGTATAATATATTTACCCTTTTCAGGTTCTTCTCCAACTTCTTCTCGATAATATTGAGCATCGTCATCTTCTTCTACAACGCTTTCTTCCACCACTTCTTTCTTCTTATGCATTCCCTTCATTGATTTTTCTTTAAGTTCTTCTTTTTTCAATTCCTTTTTCTTTTTATTTTCCTCTTGTATCTTTTTTCTTTTCTCTTTAAGTTTTTTCTTCTCATCTCGTTTCTTCTGTATTTGAAGTTTTTCTTCTTCAGTTTTATGAATAAATTCATGGTACAAAACTTCACCATCAAGAAGTCCACTTTCTACTTTCATTAATTGTAACGTAATCCTTGGTCCTAATTCTGAAAGTCTAATAGCACTAGTTGCGTTTTCATGATTTCCTCGAGAAGATAATTTCTGTGGTAATGTAACGTGACTATTAGGATCATCTTCAGCTTCGCTTTCAGACACTGTCGACTTGGTTAGAAATTCTGAAAAGTCTTGACACTTTGAAAGATTTGGTATTTTAGCTCTTACTAATTTTGTTACACTCTTAGACAAACCAACGGGTACAACTTTAATGGCATAATGTCTAAAGTCAATTGTTTTTGTAGTTGTATTATAATTTAAACATACACAACGACGAATAGTACTTAAGTCAACCTGCAAATATAAAATAATCGTTGCATTAAATTTAATTCATTTAAATATATCAAAAAACATTTAAACTCCTAATAAACCAAACTTACATTGGTTAAGTTTATTGTCGGGAACATGTTTTGAAACATCGAAGCTATTAATTTTAACTGCATACCCTCGCCACTAAAGTTATTTAATACGATTAAAGGAGAATGTTTAAAAGCTTCTTCGAAAACCATTTGTTTTTTTAAAGCAGATACTACATCTTTTGCTAAAGAGAAATTATGTACTTTAAAGGTAAGCGACGGTCCTCTGGGTAACCTGTTATATAAATATTAATTGGTTAATGTTGTTAACACTAAAAATTATGATTCATTAATGAAATTAATAATATACGTATGAACTTACTTGCAGAGTTTAAGATACATTCCAAGCTCTGTTCTTGTAAACATACATAAATGACTAACATGGAAAACACTAGCAACTGATACAAAATCCTTAATACTATTACGTTTCCGAGCTTTCAATGAAGTAGCAGTGAAAGGTTCCATAACTCTACGAAAATCTTTAGTTAATTCTATTATGTGTTCTCCTGGTAAACCACGATGAATTACAAATGAATGAGGAGCATTTACTAATTCAGGCTTCTCTTCTGTATTTAGTTGTTTGTTTCGTTTAACACAACGTCCCTAAAATGATAAAAGATTTTTATGCGTAACAAGAATGCATAATTAATTAATATACGTTATTACCTTCTTTTTACGATGACCCATCTTTTTTGTTTTCGCTTTGAGGTTAAGTTTAAGACCACGTGTTCAACCTACACAATTAAGTTTTTTTTTTAAACTATTATTAAAATATTTTATACAAAATTATTTTATCAAAACAATAAATATATATATTCAATATATTCCAATTTATCGATTAATTTTGTATAAAACTTATAACACATATTTAATTATTATTTATCACCAAAGATAAACTCCACAGCAATCAACGGCGATTGAAGCGCCGTTTAGAGAAAAATCATGTAACTAAAATCTTGTTTCGAACATTACCGAAAGTACCGTTCATATTATTTGTTTATATTTTTAAATAAACAGAGGCAAAACGGAGCTAACAATAAAAGAGACATTTCGCACGTTTTTTAATTAATTTCGAATCTAAATTTTTCTATGAATCGAAGTGTGTAAGGTATACTTTTTTTAATTTTCCAAAATCAAATTAATTTTCACTGAATAGTATATGTATATATAAAACAAATAATATGATAATATATAAATGTTTAGGTAAACAAATAAAAAGTTATGAAATATCCTAGAAAAGTATGATTTTACATATACGCACACATTAATCCATATCAGTCAACGGTTTTACGATGTTACCGTAATACGCAAGATGTTATTATACGTTCTTCACCTTTATCACATCAGACAGTCTTGAAAAGTCAGTGAACTTGTGTTGATTACTTGGTAAGCATCTACGATCATTTTATTCTATTTAATCTGTTCACAATTTCGATCTTGGTTATTAACAATAATTAGATTAAGTTTATAACTCTCTATACGATCGATAATGCAAAATTCAACAAAATTAAATATTAGGTTTTCCATTAAATACGTACGGTTTCTGCTGTTAATTTATTTCGAAAAAATCGCACGGACATTTAAACGGTGTTTAAAATAAATAAAAATCAAACATATGCATGTTATTAACGAGAATAGATTAGTTAAATAATTAGCCTGTAAATATTAATATTAATAGCTTAAGAACAAACAGTTGTGCGGTGTTAGTAATATTCATGATAACAAAGGGTGGCATGTAATAGACGCATAAATAAATTTCTCGGCTTGTATATACGCTTGGTAAGTACATCGTGCCAGTTAATTTCTACATAAATCCTGAAAATCCCATAGAAAAGGTGAAGTAAGAGGAGGAGGAGGAGAAGGAGGAGGAGAAGGAAGAGAAAAGAGAAAAAGAGGGAAGGTCTAACAGGCAGGGTGGGTTAGAATATCGTTGGGAAGCGCGGGAACTTCGGAGTAGCTCGTTAAGCGAAGAAAACTTCTCTCACGGTCCAAAGTTCATGGCCAACCTTACGATCTTTATCTACGCGAGCTATGTGAGAGCCTTTAACCCGTTCCACGTTGAAATTGCGTCTTCAATAATAACGTGTCGTGTTAACGTCGCGAAAGGACTTAAAAATGTTTTTTTTTTTTTTTTAAAGAACAAATTAATGTTAAAAAATTAACAAATGAAGTAAAAAGATATACTCTAAATTTACTTCTTTCTTTTTAATTCATTATATGTTGAAATTTTATTTTCAAGATGGACGTGTCGTGTTACTCTTCGAGATTTAAACATTTTCCCGCCAAAAAGATATTTAAAAAAATGAAGAAAATTAAAAGAAAATGTATTCCTCTTGTATAACCCATAATACGTTAAAATTATATTATTAATATTTTTGAAGGAATTTATGAATGTCCTTTTTTAAAAAAGAATTTTTTTTTTCTAAATTAAGAAACTAGGAAGTAAATTCACTCCAAATTCCATTCTATTATTTCTCTTCTATCTTTTTTGTTAGCTGGTGAATTCGTCTCGCAAAAATGTCTTCCTCTTCTTCTTCTTCTTCATCTTCTTTAGTAACCCGCCGTGCTGCTCTTTACCGATTATGTTTTCATTTCTCTGATTTGTCGGCGACGATGCGGATAATAGCTGCCATACGACGTACCAGCTACAGAAGATAAACGCTTCGACTAGAGAGGTAACGTCTGCCATATGCTAGGCTGAAAACCGGCCGTGATTTTTGTCGATGTTGCCTCAGTGCCGTGAGGAATTCGAAAAACAGAAAACTATAATGTCTAAGAGCAGTTGCTAATATATATATATATGTGTGTGTGTATATATAGATATATATAAATTTATGCTTTAGGATTTGTTTCCAGGTTAGATGAGAACAAATTGATTTTTCATACTTTTTCAAGAAATATATCAAAAATGTGTGTGTAACAATTTAATTAAAAGATTAGATTTCATTTTTTCATCAAGTTATTTATTTTTATAACTTCTATTCTATCTGTAAAATATAACATAATATGTATATTAAGTATTTGTTGATTTAAGTTTTATGTCAGAATCATTTATTACTGTTTTTATGTTATAAAAGTAATATCAAAATGAAATATTGCAATGTCGTAAATATAGAAGAATTTCTTTTTTCGATGTCGATATATAATAAAAATATCGTAATATGTATTTTCTATCTCGTATATATATGTATCGTAAGAAAAGCTATAGAATCTTGTATACATATTTCACATTGGTAAAGAAAATAAGGTGCAGCAGACAGCGTGCACCACGCCTCAACGCACTCCTACCTTACTGATCCCGATTGTAACAGAACTATTCCTGTGAGCGGTTCGATCTTACAAATCGAAGATAGGAAGAAACTCGTTTATACTATAACTACCTTTTGTATATAACAGGGCTTCTCAAAGACCCCCATAAGGATTCGCGTAATTAAATTTGAGGGTTGCAGAAAATTTAGCAAATATTGTAACAAATTTATGGAAATGCAACGATCAAAAATTAGTATAGTGTGTTTGAGAGTTTATGATATATTATAAAATAAACAACAAATAATTATTTTGTTTAAAATAATAAATCAATAATTTTAGCAAAAATAATCATATAAAAATATATCAAATTATTGGTACTCTACATTAATATATGACATAAAATTAATAATAATAATAGTATGAGAATATAGAGTGGATGATTTTAAAAATCTGAGTAAAAGATTCTTTTTATACATTTGATAATTATTAACATAGGTTATAATTAGGAATTTACCAATATATCATTTAAGTAAAAAGATCAAAATTATTAAGAACAAAATTAAGACATTTGTACGGATTACATCAAGTATGGAAAGGAATCATTTAAATATTACAGGTTCAAAATGAGACAATGTCGCGCTCGAATTTGTATCGCTCAGTTTTGGTGGCAGAATATTGTCGTACAATTCGTCATGGCCGAGGAAATATTTAAAGATCGACGACCGAGACCGATTTTCTTCGGTGGTCGAGGATGAGAAGGATACGACGCTAGTTGAGTCGCTCAGATTAGATCTTTTCACATTTGGCGGAAGTTCGCTAACGTGCTCGTGATTCACCGTGGTCACACCGTGGATATTGCAAACGATTCTTTCCGGTTTTCTCATTAACATTTTTTTTTATTCTCAGAATTATCGTTAGACATTTTTCTTATTCGTTTACATTTTTTATTAACGAGAGCCACAATATTTTTTGAAATGACGTTCTCGATCAGCTGCTATTTTTTTTTTATTAATATTATTCTCTCAAATAATTCACCAACATTATTTTTATTATTGTTATTGAATTTTTTCTTCCTTGATTTTAATTTGACAAAATTTTTCAATTTCACTTTATCCACATTGATGAGATTAAAATCATAGGTAATAAACTTATTTTTCTCAACAACAATATGTCTTATATGAACAAATTTTATTTCACATTTTCGACTTACCATTAATTTTCTACGTAAAAATACCCTTTGCTTGTTTGTACCAGTAATTACGGGACACCCTATTTATCCAACAATTTTACAATTAACTACATTTAAAACGGTTTCTCATATTAAGTTCCTAATTGTAAGAAGAAGAAGAAGAAGAAGTATATAAAAAAGGTTCTTTCAAGTAACCTTGTTATTTTATTGAAGTAGCATCAATAACGTGAATGCGGTTACATGATACTACATTATTTTACAAAGATACAACATAATGTAACATTAGATTTGCAGTATTACGCTACCTAGTATAATATTATGTAATTGTAGATATTATTTAACCGTTTTTTTATATGACAGTCCGTACGACGTAACGTTTTTTCCAACGATTGCATAAAAGTAAAAAAGAAAAATCTGAATTCATTTTTTCTTTCTTTTTTTGTTTAAACATCATAACTGAATGTATGATATTATAATGATTGATTTATTCTTTCTATGATTAATGAGGAATATTAATGTAATGTGGGATTGGTCAGTAACAGATGTTATAATCATTTCTCCAATTAAAATAATAGTTGTCACTTATAATACTTTTGGATATGCATTCCACTTAATTATGTTTCTCAACATAATCATCAAACGTTTACCAATTGTTACTGGTTTCATTTTTATTATAATACAACGATCAATCAAATAAACCCATTATTTTAGGTTTTGTACAAAAACGAGGTTTAAGAAATGATAAAGAAACAAATTGTTGGATCAAAGAAGATTATATGCCTCATTTATAATAAAATGATTGAAAATAAGTATTGTTTTTAATAGAATTTATTGTTCTTTGATTGGTAATTGACTATTAATTGCCTCTTGCAGAAGTGTGACGTAAGAATATGTAATTAATATACAAATAAACGAAGCGGAAGATTGAAAATGACGGAAAACACTTTATTTGCAGTGAATATAAATGTATATACATGTATTATCTTATTATCTTTTTACTCATAAACAATTTGTATTTATTTTTATATACAAATAACCAAGTTGAAAAAAAAGGTAATAAGAAAAAGGAAATTTGAGGCATATGTATTGAGAATTATAAAAAATCTTCGTCTTATATTTTCTTTTTTTTGGAGTTTTTAAAATAATTTTTAAGGTAATGATGATCGAACAATGTTCTATTTAAGAAAAAATCAAGAAAATATATATCATACCACCCAGAGCGTGATAACTCTCGTAAAAAATGATTTCATAAATTCAATGATTTTTCAAAAATGATTTACAATGGGTTTTGTCCTACCCCCTGTCATTTTTCCGGTTCGTTATTACATGAAGATTATTGCATATTTTTTCGTAACTTTCTTTTCCTCTTATTTTCTT